GATCAATTTAAAATGGAAGAGTTGTTAAGAATGAGAAAGGAAAGAAAAAAAAGGATAAAGGAATGAAGATGGAAAATTAAGATGAAGAACGGCACCAAACAGAGCTGGATCCGAAGAGGACCCTTTGTCAATTTAGAAAAGCTTGATGGTGGCCGATATGTTTTGAGATATTTGTCGAGTAAGCGAAATTTTAAGTAGTTGCCCGCGATGCCTGTTGAGGTAGATGCAGATGAATGCGAGAGATCGTCGACTGAGGCACTCGTAGCTACCATAACATCAAAGCAAGAGATCTGTATTTTAAGATGGTTGAGGTGGTGCCATACACAGGGACTAAATTTGAATGATTGTGTGAAGCGTCGCTAAGGTGCGGCAAGAGTCCGGTACTGTGGTATGTGTGTGTGGTAGCCAGACGATTGAACTTGAGCGGAAGAGAGCGTGTCCTCTAATTGATGTGTTTAGGAATAGCCTGCTAAGTTAATGTCTGATGGATATCCAAACTGTTGGGTTTGTGCGGAAGAGAGCATGTACTCTATGGTCGTGAAAGATTATCCCGCCAAACTAACATTTGAAGACCCTGGAAGTGTAAGCGAGAGATCGCCGATTGAGGCACTCGTTGGTGGAGTATAAGGCTATGAGGGTCCAGAGAGACCGTGACGCAAAAGGTGCGTGTGAGCGTTGCAAAGTGTCCAGCAAGAGCCTGGCAAGAGTTTGGTACAGTGGTAGCCAGACGATTGAACTTGAGCAGAAGAGAGCGTGTACTCTAAACCGTGTGTTAAGGAATATCCTGCTAAGTTAATGTCTGATGGAATGCAAAATTGATATCCAAACTGTTGGGTTTGTGCGGAAGAGAGCGTGTACTCTATGGTCGTGAAAGATTATCCCGCCAAACCAACGTTTGAAGACACTAGCAGTGTAAGCTAATTGATTTTGAAGAGTTATGTAGAGCAGTATGAGTAAAGAAGCTAAGTGATGATTATTGCGAAGTTATGGCAATGAGGTCGAGGTCGTGTTATAGTCAGGAAGGCCGTGTCGGAGATTACTTTGAAATGTTAGATGTAATTACTATTTGTAAGACTCTAAGTGTATCGAATATGGAAATAAATGAAGAGTTAAATAAGTAACGAGAGAAAAGGAAGAGAACTTATTAAGAAAGAGCGTGGTGGGGATGAAGAGAGTATTCCCTACCGAGTGTGGCGCAATGACGAGTAGAGAAGGACGAGGAAAGTAGAGAAAGGGAAAAGTGCAAGTCAGTTCCAGCGAGACTGTCAGGGAAAGCGGACGTACTACTCAGTCATTGCGACTCACTGCGCTTAGTAAAAAGAAAAGGAAACGACAATGGCCGACAACATTGACCCCCCATCCCCGACATATATGTAGCTGCCATAGAAACGATCGGTAGATGTAGAGAAAATGTAAAACCAGGAATGTAGAACTGTAACTGTCAAACTCTAAACATAATAAGAATAGGTAAAATTTAATGAAATAATATCTGCAAGGGTATACAAACTTCGGCGTGCCGAAGTTTGTTTCCTTTCTTTTTAATTTTAAGCCTATTGCATTGAAATTTGGAATGAATACATTTATTAAGCTCCCAAAACGACCTACCAAGCTTTAAATGATTTGGGGTAATATTTCATATAGCAGCCATATAACCGATTTTTGGCTTTGCGATGCGGTCGTTCACGCTAAGTGTCTAGACTTTCGTAGACGCAATTTCTGCCAAAAATGGTTTACGCTACTGTTGCCATGCCTGTCGGGAGGTTGAGAAGGAAATGTTATTCTTCATGCGGCAAACTATAAGTGGATTTAATGAACTTAGGGTCAATTTTCGCAAAGCGAATGACCTGTTCCCAGTGCTGGACGCTCACTTTAACAGGATGAAGTTCCAATGGTGTTGAGATCGGGAGCGGCGAAAGATTCGGCAACCGAATGTGCCGGGATGCAAATGGCAGCAGCGGCGCCAGTCATATCCGTTGAGTCTGCTGCGGTGTCTCAATCTGTGACACCGCAGACTTCGAAAAAAGTAGTAGCTGTTCCTCAGGGAAAAAAAAGGGCCGGAGCACCGGCCGAAGTCGGTAATGCTGCGTTTCCGAAGACCCTCACCGCTATTCCACCACAAAAAACAATATTTGTTTCATCGCATCGGAAGATGTACTTGCCATATACTACTGGGCAAAAAACACGCCGCCAATGTGAAAGTGGAAAAATTTAACTTTTCTCACCCCAGAGACATCTCATCGTTTAAGATAAGTGTCTCCCTCGATCTCTTTGACACAATTGTTCAGGTGACTTCTGGGCTGAACACGCTGCAGTTAAGGAATATGAGGTGAAAGTAAATAAAAAACGTCCTGTGAGAGTAAAACCTCCAAGGCCGTCACAAACCACATCAACTGCAGGTATTGAATTTATCTGTGTGAAACTATCATTTCCAGGTAGTTTTATCTATATAACCTGTTCTTAAGTTCCTCCATCTGCTGAAGGGCCTATTTATTGGAAACACCTTTCGCCAATTCGGGCCGTTTCCAACATGCTTTTAGATAGTTGGTCATCAGATGGTACGTCCAATGTCCTCCAAACTGCGGCACAGCATGACCTCATCGATTGCTTGCTTGACATTACTTTGTCCCAAGATAACCATGTCTTAAGTTCTTTAAATCGCTTACTGGATCTGTGTTTCGCCTCCGATCCTGTAGGTGTAAACTTAACAAGAGTTGATCCATTGACGCTTCCTGAAGACCTTTACCATCCTACTTTCGAAGTGACCATCGATACGGGAACTGTCGTAAAGAATAAATCTGATCGCTTGGCCAATAAAGTTCGCTGATTTCGTAAAGCACTTTAATTTGCGGATTTAATTGGTCCGATCTATACATGTGTACTTACATGGCGTCCGCCGTGGATATTTTGTACAGTGCCATGAATGCGTTCTTTGCATCGTGTGTTCCGTTAGCCTATCCGTCGGTTTCTAGTAAACCACCTTGGTTCACTAAAGAGCTGACACGGCTAAAAAACGTTAAGTCTAGGCTTTATAATCATTATAAACGTAACGCTACTGTTCATTCAAGATATTTTAGTACTCGGTCGAATTTCACCGTGCTTAACGCGCAGTGTTATAAAAGTTATTTAACGCGCTGTTGGGTTCAGTTCACGCAGGACCCGAAACCGTTTTATAACTTTGTTAACACTAAACGTAAACCCAATTTATATCCTTCCTCACTTTCATTTAATAACAATACTGCAAACTCTGATCAGGCCATCGCCGATCTCTTTGCCGACTTTTTCAAAACTACTTATTCTTCCTCAAATAGGTTAAATCAGACTTACTCCTTTGATTTGCCCAGGTCGAACCTAATTTTCAGTCCTATTTAAAACGAAAGTTTTTTCACCGGGTCCCGATGGAATACCAGGCTGCGTGCTCAGGTATTGTACCGGGGCTCTGTGCAATCCCCTTCTGAAATTGTTTACCTTATCTCTAGAAACCTCAGAATTTCCCCTTATTTGAAAGGAATCATTTATTATTCCTCTTCACAAAAAAGGTAGCAAACGGACGCCAGCAATTATAGAGGAATATCTAAATTATCGGAAATTCCAAAACTTTTCGAGAATGTTATTACTCCTCACTTGCAGCATTTATGCAGATGCGTAGAAGAAGCATGGTTTTATGAGGCGAAGATCGACTACTACAAATCTCCTGGAACTCACCTCTTTCGTTATTAAGTGTTTCCAACGTAACTTTAAAACCGATGTGATTTACACAGACTTCAGTAACGATTTTGACTCGGTTAATCACTCTCTTCTTGTAAGGAAGCTTGACTTAATCGGGTTTCCTGTCGATTTTCTTAAATGGATTTTCAGTTATTTGAGTGACAGAACTCAAAAGGTTTTATTTAAAAATTCTCTGTCTAAATTCCTCAGGGTCACTTCTGGCGTCCCACAAGGTAGCCAGCTCGGCCCGCTGCTATTTACATTGTTTATCAATGACCTGCCGCTGGTTCTAACGAACTCTAGTGTACTTATGTACGCTGATGACGTTAAACTATGCTTGCAGTGTAAGGACAGTCAGACCTGCAATCGGATCTGAATAACTTTCAAGCATGGTGTCGTGCTAATTTATCACATCTCAATAGCTCTAAATGCAAGCTGATGACATTTTCATGTGTCACTCCCCAGTTTTCCACTTATATGCTAAATGATTGCGCTCTTGAAAGAATATCTCTTGTTGACGATTTAATGTTCGCATAGACCCTAAACTTTCGTTCTCTGAACATATTTCGTGCGTGGTTAATAAAGCCAGGGGCATGCTCGGTTTTATTAAGAGGTGGTCGAAGGAATTCGATTCCCCTTATATAACGAAGACCCTTTTTACTTCGTTAGTTCGCCCTATATTGGAGTATGGTTCATGCGACTGGAGTCCTCAATTCGGAGTCCATATTAACCGTATTGAATCTGTACAAAAGAACTTCTTACTTTTCGCCCTCCGTGGCCTACCCTGGGATGCTGATGAGAGACTACCATCCTATTCTAGTAGACTTCTATTAATTAACTTACCCTCGCTAGCTAACCGTAGAACGATGCTTGGTGTCGTATTCCTTAATAACCTAATAAACGGTGATGTTGAGAGCCCCTTTCTTTTAGGGCAGCTCAATTCGTGTCGTACGTCACACGGCTGCGCCCCTCAGTCGGTTGGACGGGAGGAAGAAGCGGGACACCGCGCGAAAAAAAAAAAATTCCATTTGCAAAGTTTAGTATATATTATATACATATACATATTATATTTGCCGATGGAACACACAGTTAATTCAGTTGCCTGGGCCATCCTGTTCCCCCTGTTTTCTCCTTCTGCTGACCACCCACACTACAAACACGTACTGCATTTTAAATTCCACCAAGAATTTGACAAAAGCGGACACTGTTTGCCAGAAGTCATACACATATCAACCTTTTATAATTTTAAATTAAAAACAACAAATGTTCGATATTTACATTTTTAAACACCGTATTTTTATTTATTTAACGTAGAGTGAAAGGACCACAGGCCTGATATATGGGTCCATGACTAAATTGCATTTGTAATTAACTTTTCGGCACACTTTGATTTGTAGACTTTGGCTAGATTTTTCATTTCTTTAATTATAAATGTAAAAACGTATTTACAAGGCTTTAACTCCCATTGATTTGTAACAAGAAAATCAATTTGTTCCTATTCTGAGGCATGCTCAAGTAAACTTTGGCTGCTTAAGTACAATTTAAAACTTTCTTATTACTAAGCATTTTTGTAAAAGAAGGTTCCAGTTAAAGCTTCTTAGGCTTCATTCTCGATGCGGTTGGGGAGGCAAACGTAGTGATATGAATGCTGTGTACCTTCTCATTCCGAAAGTCAAGGCGTTTCAGTAAAATAAGTAAGCTGAAGAGAGCAATCATATAAAGGGAAAACACGTCTAGAAGATAGTACTGCCACCATCTGTGGACCAAAAAAAGATATTAAATGCTTTATATTAAATATGTTATAAATTACGTCATATTTCGCGAAGGTGCTTGCAAATGATAAGCGCCTTTGTGACGCAGCACATATTCGGTCCAGTATATGGCCGTCTCCAAAGCTGTCGAGCGCTGATCTAGTAAAAGATTCTGACGATAGCGAGCTGCATTTCTGTAGCGCGGGTCATGAATCACTTTCATGATTGCCTTATAAAGTTGATTGGTAGACAGCGTCTCAAGATCCAGCTTGACGGCGTAGCCATCTACCTCGGCTTTGGCAGAATTAACATCATGATCGCAGAATACTGGCATCGTTACGACTGGTACTCCGTGAAATACAGTCTCAAACATGCTAAGCAAACCTCCGTGCGTGACAAAAGCTCGTAGTTTAGGATGACCCAATATGTCCTGTTGAGGCAGCCACCGTGAAAGTTTCACGTTTGAAGTAAGATCATGTATGTCTGCCGCATTTCCTTCGTACTTCCAAAGCACATGATATGGCAGGTGGGCAAACGTCTTTACAAGCATGCGACGGAGCGATTCGGGCATATTCGCAGCTTTTACAGATGAACCCATCGATACATAGATAAATCCCGAGACTCCAGAAGCACCAATAAAGTCCTCTAGATCTTTTGGAAGTTTCCTAGCTCGTTTACAGTGAATGCAAGCCACCTCTGCCACATTTGGATTCAAGGCTCTGGGATAGGACACCACTGCGTGGCCATTTTGTAAAATAAAGCTTACATTACGAGCCATTTCATAAGGGTGCGGTATATGGCTGCCCAAATGTTCTTGCAACACAAGATGCGTTCGCCGCATAACGTACTAGGAATAAACAAAAAGATTAAGGTTTGCTTTTTTTTAAATTTATATTTTTCTTACCATATGCAAAAGGTTTTGTCCAATTTGCATGCCCGTATTTATAGCCCGTTGGTAGATACTCATCGTGTCCGTAAATCGAGAATAAAAGTTCGGCGTTACGGCATAGCTTGCCGGATTTCCAGCAATAGATAGGCTACCAGTATAGAAGCCTACTGTGTTTATATACATAAATGGGATCTTTAGCAGGTGCACCAATCCTAACGCGCATTCGGGGAAGGCGCCGTCCAATATGGCTAAGTCGAAGCTTCGAGTTGACAACTCTCTAGTCTCCGTGTCCCGCAGCATTGCGTCGCATGACTGCCAAGAAAATATAAAATGTTATTCAGGTTATAAAAAGAATCAAAATCGAAATGAAAATTTAAGCAGAATATATTTTAATATATACCTAATATTTCATTACTAAGCTACCGGAAATATATTTCCAATATTCCTCTTTATAGAAAAAGAATTCAACTGGTAATGCAGTTGAAGTCTGGCCCAACAGGATCAGCAAAGTTAAAAATTATTAGGCGAACGTAGCTGGGAACATGTTGAGCATAGGTTTTGTCTGTAGATGGTGCAGAATGTTAGCATACATCAACATTTTATTATCTAATATCACCTATGTCTATAAACCGATTTTCAAACAACTCATATCGAGTATAGATTATAATTCAAGTGTGCTAGAGCATTTAAAAATACCCTAAAGTACTGGAGGTATCGATTGGCCATGTCTGACCTAGGTATCCAGCTAGTTCGTGAATGGGTACTTTCTTAAATGATCTGAACTCCGAACCACCTATCATCCTGTGGTAACGCCGAACCACCGGGTATTTTATTTAGTAATTAAGGGGTCGGTTAATATTAGTCATTTATTATACTACTTTTACTTTTTACTACCCTGGCAGGGTATTATACTTTAAGTCAGAAGTTTGCATCGCAGTGAAGGAGTTATTTTAGACCCTAGAAAGTATGTCTTGAACAGCATCAACAGCCAAGCCGATCTAGCCATGTCCCCATCCGTTTCTACTTCGACAAATTTTTCACTCTAGCGCCTTTTCCCATTTTACGTTGCAAAAATCATACCTTTTGAACCAAAAAAAGATAATAAAGTAATTTAAACGCCATTTGACATTCCCTTTTTTTATAGGGTATCAAAGTAAAAAAATAGGTTTTTTTGTCAATGAAAACAATTTTTAAAAAATAATTTTTTTTAAGTTTTTATTTATGTATTTGCTCATATAAAAATAATTTGAAAACTGAAAAAAATTTAACTTTTTTTTTTTTTTTCAAAGTGTAACCGCCACAAAACCATGAGCGCTGCAGTTAGTATATTTTTTGGTGTGTATGAAATTGTGTCGGTATTTTGGTATATTTTACCCGCAGACGCAGCTCGACGCAGCAGATGAAAGTTGATTTTGGTCCAGAATAGATCCACAAAGGTCGTAGTAATAGTGTAGTAGATATAAACTACTTTAGCCAGAAAAAAGGGGAAAAAATGGACACCTGGCAGCCCAAAACCTAATTCCCTTTTTTCGGATTATCTTACAGTTTATGAATGTGCCTATTATTAAAAGCAAAAACCATGACGATAGGTAATCTTTTTTTCTGCAATGTTACCTGAAAGTGACCAATTTTTCCTTTTCTTATGATGCAATAATGGAAACAAAGTTCAACTTTGAATGCTTATTTCTTCTATCTAAAAATTGAATTATTGCAGATTCGGAATCCATGATAAATTTCCTGTAGAATAGGTATGGTTAAAATCGTTTTTGTGACAACGACTTTTTGCAACTGCTTTTGTTCGAGAGGTGCTACTGTGTGACGGTCTTCTGCTGTCGGAGAATTGGGAGAAGGGTGAGTCTAAGATGGCCGACATGGCTAGCCGACAGGTTGGTTACCGTGGCGACCGGACCGTTCCACCGGGTGATCAGATGCGACGATGGGTTATCCTGGAGCTTTCTGGTGGACTGTGTGGCTAGGATAAGCGACACATGGGCTTAATATAAGGCTTGTCCACGCCAGGGAGATTCCATCTTTAAAGCCGAAAAAGAGATGAAGTCGAGCAAAGCGTTCCTTCTTTTCATTAATCAACGCCGCCTGCCGCTGTTAAAAAATCTAGACCCTAAGATCTGATACGGCAAAGGGAAGGCCAAGATTAAGGTCTTTCTGCCCGAGTCGGACGAGTTATTAGAAGAGGTCGATGACACCAACAAGCTGTGGGACGGTAGGTGACAAGTCCCACGACACATTCCAAACCAACATCGATATTGAAAATCGGGCAGATTAACACTGACGCGCAACTCACATGCTTTACATATCGATATCAGACTTATACAGGACGCTTTGACTAGGGACGAGAAAGTCGCTCGCCTGAGGATCACAGAATTCACTAATCCGATGCGTAATTAAGAATCAATATAACACTTCTTGATCTTAGCACACCGGATCTAGCAGTTGCCAGATTCATTACAGCGGATGGGAGCGGAGTAAACATCGCCTCGGCTTACATGGCCCACGAAGAGCCGGCACCACCTGAGCCTGTAGCCAAGCTGCTGCAACGGTCCGAAGACACGAAGATGACACTGGTGCTAGGGTGCGACGCAAATGCGAAGCAAACGCTCTGGGGAGCTCGGAATCGAACAAAAGAGGTGAGTCTCTTTTTGATAACATTATTTGCCGTAACGTTACAATATGTAACAAAGGCAACACACCAACCATCTTATTTTCTCAGGGATCGCAAATCAGAGTTATGAGTAAAATAAAAGTTAATACCAAAAAATTTAGCTGGAAAGATGGAAAATTTATGTATACCAAATTTTATTAAGAAAAACTTTTAAAACCAATTTTTATTTTTTAATTTGAATAAAAGAGTTTTAAAATAATTTTAAATAGAGAATTTTATAATTTACATGTTGTTTTTTACTGATTAAGTAAAGATGAAGAGTATGCGTTTTCAAAGAAAACTGTTTTAAATTTTCTAATTCTAATTTTAAAATATAAAAAGGCAAGCATAATGCCTATGGTCTAGAAGTTATTAGCAAAACATGCCAATTTTTCTGATTTTATCACCAAAATAACGAATAATAATCGCTTTCGCTAGAATTATCATTCGAATATTTTCAAATATGTTTTAGAATATGTTAGATTCTGTCAATGTTTATCAATAAGAACACTTTTATATGTGACTATAATTTTAGAGAGGTTATACTTTTTTTTTTTTGCCGCGGTTGACCTTTCTATAGAAATGATATTCAGGCCTGCTCCGGTAATCGTAAAATTTTTTCGATTTCGTTTTGGGCGAAAACGAACCGTTTTGGTTTTTAGCTGCTCCGGTTTTCGGCAAATTTCTGCTATCGGATGTTTCGATTTCTCATCGTTTCTCACTGCTCAAGCAGCTAACTTGTGTTGTTGGTAATAAGCAAACAACGTAAAGTACTGCCTATTATATTTACAATTGCCCTTTTTCTAAGCCAGAAAAAGGCAAAAAATGGTAGAATTAAGCAAATCTAGGCACCTAAGATGCTGCCACACTTTTCACAGTTTTAATTCCGGTGGTCTCAAATAATTATTTGGTTAATTTGGTCCATTTAAGTAATCACATTAAATAGCATTATTTATAAACAACCATTTTGGCGGTCCTTTAAAGTTATTAATGTATTCATTTATATTTTATAAGTATTTTTAACTGGCTGTTTCGTTCCACCAACAATATGGCAACCTTGGCGATAACTTTTTGAGGTGAACCTATCGACCTATCGCCAAAACGAGAAAACTGGTTGAACACGGCAAAACTTTTGTTGTCAAATCTGAGGTGGGGTCAGAAATAAATTTTTTATAAAATAACTACCTGCCAGAATGATCTTGTGGTGGTGTGGAATAAACATCAATAGAACCTACACATACACATAAGATTAGAGATAAGATCGACTGTAAATAGACTTTAAGCTCTCCTTGATCGCTGCTAGTAAAGTAGTTGGATTTAGACCGTACAAGTGTTCGGACGTACAATAAAGATAACCCAAACTGAGTCTAGCAATCTTCTCTTTGGATATTGACGTGAAGCTCAACTAGCAACTGAGCCATCTAAAGGCCAACTCATCAACGATCGATTTTGGACCTAGTTGAAATAGCTCCCTAAACCTAAAAGACGCGGAGATTGATAAAGATCTGGCTTGTCTGAGACCGCTACTAAACTGGGCCCTAACATCGACATAACTGGCGACGACGACTAACAAAAAATTAAACCACCCGTTTGGAATTAAATTCCAAAACAAAATCTTTAACACGCGTTTCAAACATACGAAATACGACCATAAAAGCCCGTAAATTGCGGCTCAAGCATAACCAGCGAAGCCAGCCTTATCAGCACAGAAGATAACGGCTCTACCCTCGCCTGAGCGGTCCACCGGCGATCTTCGAGACCAAGCTTTGGCAATCATCATCGCTGTCGCTTATCTTACCTTCAGAGACTGCTGCGTTGGACAATACACGCAAAATAAAATTAATTACCGTTCTTCAATTGATTTTCGCTGGAGCTGTATTATTCTAAGAGACTGCTGCATTGGAGCTTTACTACCTTCGACTGCTGCGTTGGACAATACACGCAAAATAAAATCAATTACCGTTCTTCAATTGATTTTCGCTGGAGCTGTATTATTCTAAAAGACTGCTGCATTGGAGCTTTACTACCTTCGACTGCTGCGTTGGACAATAACATACAAAGTAAAACCAACCACCGTTCTTTATTCTTTTCACCCTATCCCCAGACCTTTACTGTTCTAAAGAAAGCTTATAACTTTATACATAACTAACCTACATACAAAAGCCACACAAAAATGAATACCGAAATAATTGCGTCGTTTAATCTCTATTTAAATTGTATAAAAACTATAAAAGATTTTGATGGATCGGACAAAAATCAGCTCCCAGATTTTATTAATCAAATTAATGACTTCGAAACGTTCGATGAACAATCTAAAAACCTCTTACTTAATTACATAAAAAACAAATGCATTGGATTAGTAAGACCCGTTTTGCATAGATACGGAAACATTAGATCGTGGAACGAATTAAAAGAAATTCTAATAAAACATTTTGGGGAAAAAGAGACTAGTGACATATTGATAGATACCCTAAAATTATGTAGAATAGAATCCACAATAGAGCAATACTATAATAAAATCAATGAAATTGCTAGTAGAATTCATAGCCATTTAGTACAGAGGAAGTTAATAGGATTTCACTTAGGATCTTTAGGGACAATCTTCCCGAACCTACACTGATAAAAAAAATAAAATCTTCTTTTGAGATTTTGC